AAACTATGATGCAAGCTACAGGCCTGCATTTTTATTTTTTATTTTTTTAGGAAACTGGTACAAATACACTGATCCCCAAACAGGATAGTCTGCATGGGATTTTGCCCCTGCAGCCCTTTCCCCTACTCCAGATGGTTCTAATCTGGTCATTTCCTGCCAGAAGATAAGAAATATTTAAGGATGTGAGGAAAAAATCTGTCCCTCAAAAAGGCATCCCAATTTCTTCTGGGCTAGCTGCTGCTGGTAGCCTGCCTAGACAAGCTAACTTGCGGACTTAGAGTGCAATCTTCTTTCTCAGCAGGGGTACCTGGACCCAGACCCGAACCAGCTGCAAGCACAGACCTGACTGGCCACAAAGCCAGCTGGGCTGAGTATGTAAGCCCAGGCCTTTCACTTGGACTCTGGGAGCACATCCAGATGAGCAGGAACACCTTGTGCCGCTGCTACTTATCCCTGGGGAATGCCCATGCCATGTATGCTCTGGCTGTGTGGCAGGTTACCCTAGGAGGGGTAGGGGAAGCTGGGACCATTAACTGTGCTGGCCCCAGCAGCCTTACCTGGGGTTGTGGGGGTCTCAGAGAGCTGCAGTCATGGTGCTCCTGCAGCAGGGAGCCTGGCTGGCAGCTGGAGTGTGGCTCTGGCTGGCCAGGCTCCAGCTTTAGGTGGTGCATGCTACTGCTACATGTGCCACCCCACTTTTTTTTGGCATGGGGTTTTTTGATCCTGGGATCTCCTGCAGTTAGCTGCTTTCAGAAAGTCTACCCTTTTACAGAAGACACTGTAAAAGCTGAAAATCAGTCCATGCTGGAGAACCCTCTATAATGGCTGCAGCCAAGAGGAAGCTTTGAGAACGTTTTTTCAAAAGAGAAGAGAGTCATTTCATACACCCGCTGTGGGAAAATCGCATTTGTGACAAATATGCTAACCAAAGTTGTAACAAACTATTTGGCCAGGTTTATATGGCCTCACATGAAACAGCTTGTAGGCCTTAAGCAAGACAGATGGATGAGGTGCCCAGATAAAACTAAAAAACAGTTGCCAAGTGACACAGCAACTTTTCACGACAGACCTTTTACAAATGGAGATGGGATGCATGGTTTGCAAATGGCCCAACATGAAGATGATGAATTCACAATGCAACACAAGGCTCAGAACTGGATCTGAACATCCCCAATGTCCACGGGGGTCGAAAAACTGGAGGTCTGCAGCTTTGGCCCTCAAAAAGATATTGGTCCTCAAATGGTAATTTAAAGCAGCCTTCTCTAATGTTGTGAGCTGTTACATTATATATGCATGTTTCCACTTGATACTGATGTGCACCCAAACTAGCTACAAGCAAAGACCTCATCAAAAAGGGCCACAAGGTTGTTGTTTTCTGTGTGTGTATTTCTGTATCTTTTGAATGTTAACAAATCTAATAGGTATTGCATTTGAAAGTTTGTCTTTATCCCAACTACAAATAAAATCTATCAGCCTAAAAAATCCTTGGCTCTTGCATAATTCTGGACCATCACAGCTACAACATCAATTTTACGCTACTGATAGATCTAACCTGAGACTGAAGGCTGCTCTAAGTGCACTGTCAGTTTCTAGATCGCTATAGACAAGGAGGGGCTACAACAACAAAAATAATAAAAGATACTTGCACTTTTCTAATACCCACTATTTGAGGATTCTCACGTTTTATAAACATTAATGATTAGTAGTTAGCTTCATAACCCCTCTGTAAAGCTAGGAAGTATGATTACATCCACTTTCTAGATGGGAAAAACCATGCCCAGTGCTCTTTAATGGGCTTGCTCCATGCCATAAAAAGCTATCTGTAGCAGAACTAGTAGTAGAATGCAGGTCATCCAGCTCCAAGACCAGGCTTTAACCAGAAGGCTGTAAATGAATCAATCAGCATTTTTATGTTGCTTTAGAGATGTAGTGCTACGTTGTTATTGGGCAATATCTACTACTAATACATTAGTTACACTGAAGACAAGGATTAAGCATTACATAACAACATTTTGTCAATAAATTACAGTATCTCTACAGCTCTGTTAGCATTTCCACCCAGAATCAAATTACAGTTCTAAAGTATTACCAGTACCATAACTAAGAGCATGTCTGCAGATAGCCTGGAATAGTTATCTCACATTCATTTCTTGTCCTAGGGCTTTTAAAGCTTAGTTTGGAATTGGATTAAGGCAAAGGTGTCAAAGATACAGCACTATCATGTGGCCTGCTATGCTGTGGCCTGTGGGTCGCCGACTGGACCTGCATGCTGCACGTGGTACAGGGCCAGGACCTAGGCGCACTGCAGACAGTGCAGGGAGCTGGTTCTGGTGTGTATAGCTGGTCTGGGGCATTTATGGTGCCCACACTGGACCAGCCCTGTTCACTGGAACCAGCATGCATGCCACTCATTCAGTCCACTGGGCCTAATGTATTTGACACCCCTAGATTAAGCTAAAGCATGTAGACACTCAGTGGGGAGTTGGAATATCCCCATAGTTACAGAATAGAATTGAACTTACAATTCATACCTTCACTTATTTCATAAGCTTCCCTATTCAAATTTGTCCTCAGAGCCTTCTGAGTGTTATATTGTGTACATATCACCTGCAAAACAAGTTTCCAAAAACTTCCCGTACAATTTAACTGCGAGTCCTTATATTTCTTCTTGGATTGGCCCACGGCTTGAACAAGTGAGACAGCTTTCTCTTTTGCCATATAAACCTGCTCCACAAAGGACTCTTGTCAAAATAAATCAGGCCTGGGAAACGTGGCAGGATAATCAGGGTTTATAAATGCAGCCCCAGACTTGGATTCAAAGAGGAAATCCTGTGACTCCCTAAAGGAAAGACTCTCTCCCTTACCCTAAGTTGCTCTTTCATTTTTCTAATTGCTGCACCAGATTTTAAAATGATAAACTTCACCTTAAATTACCTAAATCCTGCCTCCAGGCTGGTATGTGTCAGCAGTATTATTATAAATCCAATACCAGCATTCTGAATGATTTCCCTTACTCAAATATACTTTGATTCATCAATAGACTTCCGGTTCAGGAAGTCTTTATTTAATCAGAGCTTAGCCCAGTTTTTAATTAGTGAGATCATTTGGGCTCATTTCCTGCAATGGTGAACTTGGTTGGGCATAGGTCACCCTTGGTTGTTGCATTAACATTTCAGATGATTTGTCACATCTGTGTTCACAAGGCAATCAGTTCCCTCCTCTCTGACTAGCACAAGATAAAAAAGAAGATGTGTGTTTTTATGCATTTCCGTTTCCTGGTCTTGGACGATAGCTGCGAATTGGGCTCTGGGTGGTGAAAGCAGGTGGGGATCCATCAGCCTGTATCACAGCTTTTCCCAATGCAAGTTAGGGATAGAATAACCCCCTCTATGCTACTGAGTTTCATCAGGCTTCTAAACTGAGTCTCCAGAGGACTTCACGCCACCAGCTGGATTATATTCCTGGCTTCATACCAGACTCACTCTGTGTACCTGGGCTCATGCCTGCATCACTCTGGCCCTGAACTGCTCTGCCTGTAGGCAGAGTGCAGGGGTCAAGGAGTTAACAGCTAAAAATGGCTTTACGTCATTTTTGCTCTCTCAGTAATGCTGAGATCAGCAAGGGCCTCAGTGCTGCTCAAACTTCTGCTCTGCGGAGCAACATGTGATCCAAGCATTTTCCTTCCCTGCCTCTGGTCTTACCTCCCACACATCTTGGCTCTAACACATCTGCAATGCTGGGTACTGGGATAGGGGTAGGGGGAGAGCTGCTCTAAGTTCTTGAGAGTGGCAGGGAAGGGCTGTTCTGTGGAGGCATTGCCTAAGGACTATTTCCTACCTCTTAAGGGCCACTTCGTCCTGCCAGTTCAGTTTACTTACCTGTAAAATTGCAGGGATGTTGTAGATTAATTAATACCTCTAAAAGGACTTTCTTACATGGTTGTTTCTTCCTCTGATCTCCTACAAAACACTTTCTGGTTTCCTTCCTTATGCATTTCCTGCTCCAAAAGCATTTCTTGCTCTCACCTGCCCACAAGTCTTGTTCACCCCCAGTGGCTTCTAATTTCTGCACATGCACCACACACAAATGCAAGTATCTACTATTTCTTTATGCACAGACATATTTCATTTCAAGTTATTTGTACAGTTCACTTCATGTAAAGTGTATTTAACCATTCTATATTGCAGCTTAAAGAAAACATTTCTGAATAGTGCTAACTAACACTTCATCAGAAACTTACTGGATACAGAGTTTTCCAAATTGTGATTTGTGCATAACATGTAGCCCTGATCCATTCTCAAACTGGCAAGGTGCCCACTGCTAAAGTTTGCGTGGAGAACCACTTTCTGAACTGTCTTTTCCCTGTTCTCTCTGCCAAAACTTGGTTGCTTTTATAACATCTTTTTTCAGTTGCATTTGCAGGCAATAGCAAAAATATTTCCATTTCTGAAGCTTTGATCTCTACAGTACTCAGGAACCTTGGCCAGGGGAAAGTATTGTTGTGCTGTGAGTTGTCTGAACTTCCGTCTCAGCAAAAGAGAAGTCTGGATCTAGGACACTCAATATTTAATTATTAAAAAGAAGATGATGGTAGGCCTGGATTTAAGTCACTCCAATTAGATAGACTGCTTCTTCCTCTGGGTACAATGCTGCTGCTAATCAGCAGTGGAAAAAAGAAACTAGTAAAAATACTAATTTTCATATATATATTACAGAAATGAGAAGAAAAATAGTCTATTTTTAGTGTCAGTGTTTCCCACCCTGTGCTTTTCCATATAAAATGCTTTGAATTCTGTTCTTTCTACTTTCTTCTTTTGAACCATACAACAGAGGGAACTGACCTCTTGTCTGAGACAGTTAATCTCTTTAAATGCTCTACCCTCAAACATGGCCTCTTCTTCCCTAGTAGAATCCACTGTGACAAGTTTGGAAAAGGTTGTCAGAAAGGACAGTGGGAATTTTGCCCAGCACTGAACTGTACTGTTATTACAGCTACTTACCAAAGGTTCAAGCTCCTTGCGGTCTATGAGGTTGAGCTCTGTTACAAAGTAATAAAAGTGCTTGTAACAAGTATTGACATGGGCCTCAGCACCCATGATTATGATGCGGTCGAAATGATGAATGTAGACATGAACGAATACCCGGAAAAGCCTGCACAGGATCTTCTTGCAGATCTGAAGGAAGTTCTTTGGAAAGGGAACACCTGTGAACAGAGAAAGGCAGGGTTGTCATATTAATCTTTTTACCTTCCCAGAATAATGGCTTTAGCTTAGATCACTGCTTTTTGAGTTTGATTGCAAAGTGTACCACCTAATGAATACAAATGTTTTCCAGCACTGGCACTGTTGTTCCACATGCTATTTGAGATTAAGCCCTTCACACATAATTGGATTGTTTTCCACTGACCTTCTTCACAGTGCCACCCTCCATAAAAATGGAAGAATCAGAAGAGGAACAGAGATGATAGAAACAAAGACTCTTTCATTCACTTTTTACCTTCATCTGAATTCTAGGCACCTTTTATACCTATTATTTTACAGAATATCTCTAGTACAGCTGGTGGAGCCATGTGATTAACAGTTCCAGAGTCTCCAGGAGTATAATGAATAGGAATGCTTTTTGGTAGGAGACTCCAGAGCTACAGCAGTGGCAATGTTTATGGGAACAGCAAGATGCACTTCCAGATATTTCAAAATACCCTGTGTATAAATTTGATCTTGTGAGGTGCAATGGCCCTTTAGCTGCCCTTAGTAGTCAATGGAAACAGAGGACTTCCAGGTACTTGTCAGGCCCTAATAAGGATGCAGACAGAAGTGCAGATCCCCCCTGTAGCTGAGAGCACTTTGCAGGAAGGGTTCGGAGTTACAAACCCTGCCCCCTCCCCACCAAACAGAAATTCACTGTTTGTTCCAGGGGGAGGGAAATCTAGCTACTGTCTGCCAACCAACAGCCAGTTTCCCCTAGCAATGGTCCCCCCTCTCTCCCAGCCTGTCCTAGTTTCAGAATGGGAGGGGGGAAAGGGAGCACAGGGAGCTCATTCTAGGAGTCTGGAGCTGGAGGGTAGGGTGGGTGAATTAGAGAACCCCCCACTGCTACCTCCAAGGGGCCCTAATATATCCAACCTACCCTCCAGCAGGGGCTGAAAAAAGTCCAGACAAAGCTCCCTCTGCTCCTTTTTCTCCCTTTCATTCTGAAAACAGCTTGAGGCTGGCAAGCAATGCAGACAGAAGATGCTCTGTTTCATTGGCACCGTGTAAGGGGTGAACGCGGGTGCACGCACACCCCCTGAGTGTGGTGGTACACCCCCTGAGAAAAGTCGCCAACAACGCCTGCAGGTGGTCAGCGCTAGCCACCTCCACCCTCACCACTTACACTGGCGGCGGCGTCTGTGGGTGGTTGCCAATTGCTGGTTGGTGCTCACCACCCCCTCTCCACCGACAGCACCGCAGCCACCTGCAGGAGCTCCCCGCTTGCTGCTGCCATGCTCCCACCAACAGCGCTACCCCCCACCCTCCAGGGGCACATGGCATTCATGCTGTGTTTTGAAATGTCTTCATTTGACCCTTCATGCAATGAGGGGTCAGCTTTTTGCCTGATGAGCCATTTTTAAGTGGTCTGCAGCTGTGCACTTGTGTTTGGTCACAGCTATAGAGCATTTTCTGTGGCCATCCTTATATTTCTTAAGATTCCTGGGTTTCATCAGATTCAAAAAGGTAAGTTAACCCCCCTCCCTGCCTCCTGGTTTGTAAAGGCTAATCAGGTTCACTTGAAACTTAGCCCAAGGCTCACCTGAAACCTGATCTAGGTTCACACACACTTGGCCCAAGCTTTAGGTTTGGAATGAAACTCAGCACCAGGAGACTGCTCACCTGTACTTGAATTTCTGTCATGGATGGTTCTGCACAGTGCTAATTAGAACCTTTATGACAATCCCATATCCTATAATTTAGTTACACTAAAGCCTTCCTGACTTCCCACCCCTTTATAAAGTAGTTTACAGCTGCCATAATACTTGTACCACGCAGCAAGTGGCAAGAAGAAATCAGCAGTGTGTAATATAAATTATTCCCAAAAAAAGAAGTGTTTTCTTGTTTAATTTTGCTTTCTTGCTTTTTTACTTTTAAAGAGTTTTTAAACATTTTTTTACCAAAAAATTCACTGAGACAGGAAAAAATACCAAGGCATTTATACAAGAAAATGTATTCCTTTTAAAATATTTCATGGTATAAAATATGTCTTCTTGATAAACAACTCAAACAAGAGGCTGAAAACAGCAAAGCACAAATGCAAAGTTCTCCCTCTGTTTCTAAGGGCTTGCCTTCCATTGCCTGTGTGTGTCAGCAAGTTCTTGGTTTGTGTACCAAAGTCCAGAAATCAGGTGACTTAGTTGCCTTAGAGTAGCCCAAGCAAGTGCCAAAAAGTGCACCTGAGACAGTGAGCCTGATGCTTTTGCAGGGGGGTAAGCTCACTGCTGTGCTATACTGCCTAATTTCTGGGATGTAGTGCATACAGTAGGAGCCAGTGAAGAAACTTTCCCAGGATTGACAAGGAGGCAGTATTGGCAGTATCCTGGCATTGCTGTCCTCTCCCACAGCTGGAATCCTGCTCTGGGCAGCCACACTGCCATGTCTTTTTGCCTGAGTGGCAAGCTTACACAATTTCTCTTTGTTGTCACCTCTGAAGTTTGATAGAACCAGAGAATCTAGCCCTGAAACTTTAGAGAAAGAGCTATGTATTACATGAGCAGGGATCCTGGTTTTCTCCGATTAAAAATAGCAAATGCTCTGATAATAACCCAAAATCTGCGATTAAAATGAAACACCACGATATATATATAGGTATCAACTGAACACAATGTTTTATTGCTATACGTACTATTTTAAAGCAATTTAGAAACCTACCAATGCCTCAATCACTAGAATAAAATTAATTATAAATACCTATAAATTTTGGTACTTGATTTTGGGTTTTTTATCACGGAAAATCAGAGCTCCTCATGCTCCCTTTGCTCACCAGCATGCTAGTCCAGGCCCCTCTCTCCTAAGCCACAGCCACCTGGGCCCTGCTGGGCCAGCTGCTGCAGTGGAGTGGAGCATGGAGCCAGGCTTCCCCTCCCTCATGGGCAGCATGGCTAGAGCAGAGCCCATGGGGGGTAGGGGCAGGGGTGCAGGCTGCCTGCTGCAGGCTTGAGCGGTGGGGCGGGGGGGCTGGTTCCCCATAACTGCGTGCACTTCCATGGGAGATCTGGGGGGCACGGGTTCCCTTGGTCCTCGGGAGTGTGCAGTGGCAGGGAACCAGTCCCATCCCCTGCCCCTGGATGAGCTGACCCTGGCGCTGTTCCGATCCCCACTGAGGCCCTGCAGCCACGCATTCCAGCCCCAGCCCCAGCCCCATGCACTGCCCAGCTGGGCAGCAGCCCCAGCTCCAGCTCTGCCCAACTCCCTCCCTCCTTTGGGGGGGCCTCAATTCCCCTCTGCCCTAGTCTTACCTGCGGGAGCTGCTCTCCAAGCTGCCTGTACCACCTGGCTGACTGCCCTCCTCCTGCTGCCCCCAGCCCCTTGAAGGCTGGAACTCTGCCAGCCTGCAGAGAGATCTTTGCAAAAGAACAAAATCCATATGTTTCTCTATTAAAATGAAAAATTCATGTTTTTTTCAGGTAAAGAGAGAAGATCGTGGAAAAGATCCCTAAGCTCCTCCGGCCCACTGACCACTTCCCTACGCTCCTTACCCATGTGGGTACGAATGACGTGGCTCA